ACTGAAGAAAAGGATGTTTCTTTGGGGGAACAGGGCTAAACACTAAGTATTTAGTAGGAAATGCCAAGTCACCTTTAAGGTGTGCATGATGAACACACATGCAAAATTGAGTCTTGGTTGCTTTTTAATGGGAAATTGGAATAAAAGTTCCCACACTAAAATTGTTTGCTCTTTCTGTTGTCCGAGAAAGGTTTCTCCATTTACTCTCTGCCCTTGGCTGTATTAGCCATGCATCTGTGCATGGAGCAAGGTCTGCCCAGAAGTGGCGAGGCAAGAGCTTACTTTAGTTGTGCCCTTCCTCCCTCCCTGCTTCTTTTTAGACCTGTCTGTACACCACCCCCATTTGCACACTCGCCAAAGCCAGGGTCTGTTCTTAGTTTCTGACACACTGCTTTGAAAATCACACTTTGAATCTATTTTTTTTTAGGTTTTATTTTACGTGCATGAGTATTTTGCCTGTATGTATGTGTACCACGTGCATGGTTGGTGCTCAAGGAGATCAGAATTGGAGGATTGGAACTCCTGGCAGTGGAGTTATGGATGGTTGTGAGCCGTCCCATGGGTGCTAGCAACCAAACCCAAGTCCTCTGCATGAGTAACAAGTGTTCTTAACCACTAAGTTGTCTCCCTAGCCCTTGAAATTCACTCACCTTTTATTCTTAGTAAGAACTAAATTATTTTCTACCTCGTGGATAATATGCAGATCAACACAGGCTCAGTTATCCATGAAGGTATTCATGGATATCATGAAGTAATTTTGACAACACTTTACCTTTAAAAATTTAACTGTGGTAGAACCGGAGGTATGGCTCAGTGGTAGAGTACCTCCCTAGACTCCCCCTAGGGAGGGGCTGGGGGTATGTCTCAGACATTGACCACTTGTCTCCATACACAGTTCCCTAGGTTCAGTCACAACGGCATCCAAAGAATACAAAGTAATATTTTATGACCCTTATTTTACTTAAATACTAATTTTTAAAGTAAAATATGCTTCTCCAGCTGCCAACCACTTTTAGTTGAGATGTTGTAGTGTGTGTGGTTTGGTTTCTGCTTCTGTCCCACCACCCATTCCCATTCTGAAGCCAGAGCACCAGTTTGGGACCAGAGTCTCCTGGATTGATTAAACACATGCATTTTCAAAGGTGTGTTGCCATAAAACCCAGAAATGGAGAGAAATTAAAAAGGCGTTAGGGGTTGGATGCTGTGTCTCTGAAATCACCCTTATGTGCGGGGAGTTGCAGCTTGAATGCCAGACTCTATGTACACAGGCCTTTTACAGTGACCGCCGCAAGTGGTGGCGAGTTTTAGACTCCTTTCTCTGTTCTTCAGTAATCCCTCAGACCGTGGTCTGTCCCCACTAGGTTGTGACAAATCTCCAGTGTGTCCCCAAACAGACTGGTAGGTCATTTAATAAATTAGACTATTTCCCTCACTTGCAATTATCCAATCACACCACAAACTACATCTGGGCAAGAAAGTGTCTCTCGGTGTTGAAATAAGCCTTTCCAGACCATCTTCCTGATTGAATATGTAGATTGCTGTTCATTAGTGGAGTTCTTCATATGTATGCAAATCAGGCTGTTAACAACTGCAGCTTAATTGTTAGTTGTACAGCCACTGATTGCTTTTCTTCTATTCTCTCTCTCTCTCTTTCTCTTTCTTTCCCCACTTCTCGTAGGCAAGCTTCATGCCTAAATGAGATTTTCCCCCTGCTCT